CCAGCCGACATGATTGCACGGCTCCAGAAGTTGTTGGGCGGTGCCCTCAACGGGATTTGGCACAGTTACACGCAGAAGTTTCCGCTCAAAGGCAAGCAGACTTGCAGGGACTTCCTGGACTCCTGGCGTAGGGCGAGCTACGACTCCTTTGCTATGGACCAGAAGCTGGGGCTCAACGTTGACTGGGAAGCCACCCGCGAAAGACACATCCATCCGACACGCCTTTGGCAAAGGCTCACACCGTACAGAGGGCTGGAGCTCCAGTTCTCACCAGCAGCCGTGGGATCAGCAGGCAGAGATGTCCTGGCAGGGGGGGGGGGCAATCCTGGCAGGATCACGATTGGCACGACGGGGGCAAGCGCGGCAGGAAGCACAGCGACAACGCCGACCATGACGACAAGAAAACAAGGCGGAACTAGGTCCCCGCAGCAAGTGGCCTCCCGCCCGAGTTCCTCCCTCAATGGCGGTGTCTGGAATCCCTGGCTAATCCTCCGGCATTTCTCCCACCCTCTGCCCACCAACAGTGCGACCGTTAGTCGCCCCTGGCTCCCCTCACCTCTGGTGTGCGCCCTCGGGTTGGCACCTCCTCTCTCCCCGTGGCGTTCCGTCCCGCCCTCCTCCCCCCCCCGTTCTCACCAACCTGGCGACCGTGAGTCGTCTGCTGCAGCTTCCCCAGCGTTTCGTCTCGCTTACGGCCTGGAGGGATTCCCCTGTCGCGCCCGGCTAGACGGTTTCGTGGTGGTGACATGCTGCCGACGACTTTGGTTGCAACAGCGCCTGGACGGCCCCCATCCTCGCCACGCGAGTTGATCACGGCGCGGCCCCCAGTGGCATGCTGACCAGACTGGGGGAATTCGCAGCGGGCACGTTGCCGTCCTCCCTCCAACCGAGCGACCGTTAGTCGTCCCCGGCAGCACTCTCAGCACTGGCTTCGCCTGTGGTCCGAAGGGTCCCCCCTCATGCCAGGCAGCAGTCATAGATGTGGAGCGTGCTCCCGCCGACTGACGTCGACCACGGCGCTTGGTCAGCCCCCCCCCTGCGTACAAGTAGGCTTGGCCTCTGTGCTGCCCCCCAGGGCAAGTGTACAATCGGCGGCCAAAGGCAGTCGATTCGTTGCTGTACACGGCGTGCAGCATGTCTGCCAGCGACTGCCTGACACACCAGCTCTCACCCAACCCGGCAGCAGGGACCCGCAGCGCCAAGCGGCTGCCCTGGGTCGTGTGGTGACAACCCCCACGGTGCCCGGTAAGGAAGGCCCCTCGCCCTTGAGGTGCCCCCCGGGCGCCGTCACTATTGGGCGCGCTTTTCCTGCTGGGGCGGGTGCGGCGCGCCTATCGGCCACGTCCTCTACTGCAGTGCGTTTCACTCGGATCGACGCCTGGACCTCTTCATGGCCTGACCTGGTCCCCCAGCTTCGGCCCCCTGGACTGCTTTGGTCCCCGTTCGGCCAGTTGCTCGGCCTCCCCGCCCTTGGGGAGCTGGCCCCCAGTCGCCGCCAATACCGGGCGCGTTGTACCCGCTGGGGCGGGAAACACCGTGTCTCACGGCCTTGGCCGTTGCTGTACTGTTTTCATCTTGGTCTTTGCCCGTACCCCGCCAAGGCCTGGCGTGGTCCATCTGGCTTTTGCCCTTTCGTGACGTCTACGACTCACGCGTCTTGACCAGTTCCTGGTCCTGTGCGTTCACACCGCGCCCTGGTCCCCAGGCACCGGTCGGCTCGACCGTGTTTGGTCCCTCTGGCCTCTGCCCTGACTGTGCCATGGCCTTGCGCGGTCTCCCTGGCACTGGCCTTTGCGTGGCGCCCTCGGTGCTCGCGCCTTGATCAGTTCCGGAGCCTGTGCCTGCACTCCTCCGGACCCTGGTCCCCAGACACCGTCGTTTCGGCAGCGTTTGGCTCTTTCTCCGACACTGGGCGCTGTGGCCCGATCCCATCTTCAGTGGTGGAGGCGCCCACCACTTGGCCGTGCACTCTGTTCGCTTCGTGGTTTTGTGTGTTCTGGCAGTCAGGTCCGAGCGTTCTGACCAGTTCTGGCTGTGCATGCACTACCCTGGCCTGGTCAGCCGCTGGCTCCTGGGGCGCTGGTTCTCGCAGGAGTGGTTCAGCGTCCTTGTCCAGCCTTGCAGTCCCCTGGCGGTCCTTTCTTCGTGCCCCTGGCGCCCTGTGGCGACCAGGCCTAATTCCCGTGCCTGGCGATCTCGCTCCCATGGTATTGGCACGCTGCATCCCCCCAGCCGCCTCTGCAGCTGGCAGTTTCCGCACCCAGGCGCAGCTTTGCCTCGGCGCAGCTCCCCCCCGGCGGCAGGTTTGCTAGCTTGTTCGGCGCGCTCGCCGGCAAGTAGGGCGCCCGCGGCCCGAGCGACTACCGATGCTGCTGGCGCGCTCGCCGCAGCCGCGACAAAAAAGTATCCCCACCAGCCCATCCAAAGCCGACGCCCAGGCGAGTTGAGACGATCAGGAGCAACATGGGGGGACAGCCGTCATCGCTCCAGGGAGGAGGAGGGTGGATGAGGAAGGAGGAAGAAGGATGATCAATCAGTTTAATGATGAGGAGAAGTAGGAGCAGGAGGAGGAGGAGAAGGAGGAGAAGGTGGGGGAGGGAGAGGAGGGAGGAGGAGGAGTAGGCGGATAAGGAGGAGCAGAAAGAAAAGAAGGAGGAGAAGGAGGATGAGGGCGAAAGAGGACGAACAGGAGAACCTCCCCAGATGTCTCGGGAGTTGTTTGGAGGCATCTTGAAGCGTTCAGGGGGGCATCTTGACGGGCCCAGAGCCGTCTTTGAGCGTCTTGAGTACCTCGGGGATCCTCTGGAGGCCTCGCGGGAGCCTCGTGGGAGCCTTTTGGAGGCCTCTTGAGGCGCCTCTTGAGGCCGCCTGGGCGCCTCTTGAGGCGCTCTTGGAAGCCTTGGGGACGCTCTTGGAGCCATCTTGGATGGCATCGATCAAAGAAGGGTAGGGTCGCAAGTAGCCTTGCCCCTCGAGAATGCATGGGATCGCCTCTTGGACCCCTCTTGGAGCACTCTTGGGGCGCTTTTGAGGCCGTCTTGGGGCTCTCTCGGGACCCTCTTGGGCCATTACGGGGCCACCTTGAGGCCTCGGAAGGCTATCGAAAGCGAACGGGCGACGATGCAAAAATCATTGATGTTCCCTACTTGTTTGAAGGATTTGGGCTTCTTGGGGGCCTCCTCCTTGGGAGTCTCGGGGGGGCTCTTGGAGCCGTCTTGGGGCGGTCGAGGGGCCTCTTGGAGCATTTTGGAAGCTATTTTGAGCAATGGTGCACTATTTTGAGCCATCTTGGAGGTCTTCTTAGGCTTTCTGAGGCCCTCTTGGAGCCCGTCTTGAGCCATCTTGAACCTCCGACCGCTCGCAGAACCCCCTGTCCAGGTCCAGGGGAGGGGGGAGGGGGAGGGGTCAAGCTACCCACCCACCCGCAAGCCGTCTTGCTCACTCCCACCCGCCCTCTCAACACATAAGTAACACCCAGGTGTCAGCACATCGCGAAAGAATGCCGCAGTCGCCACGGGTCTGGAAGCCTCTTGGGCCCGGCTTTGAGCTTTCTTGCAAATTTTGGAGCCATTGGGAGACTTCGAAAGCCCATCTGAAACGATAAGGCGAAAAGGCAGCAGCCCCTGATGTGTCAAAACAGTCGGTCGACCACCTGCGCCCAGAAGGCAGGTGGGACCTGCTGGCGCCCCAGCCGTTCCTGTCAAATACCAGTAAAACTGGTCGCGGGGCGGCCGCGCATGCTCCAAATGTCGAGGGAGAGTGCGTGTTGTATTAATTTTGACAGGGGTGGCGGGGTGGGTGGCCCTCATGGGGTTAATTATCATGGTTCCAGGTTGGCTGTCAGCCTGGTGAGGGAGGGGGTGTATGAACCCCTCCCCGAAGGGAAAGGGGGTTGTAAGAGGAAGCGCCGTAGACCACCTACGCCCAGAGGGCTGGTGGGATTCGACTGTAGAGGGACACAGGTCAGCGGTTCAAAGATGGGGTCCTGGGGTATGGGGTCCTCAGGATATGAAGGGTTTCAAGTATGGATTTACATTGGTTGAGGCACCTCGTCCATGCGGCCCCCTCAGGACCCCACCTTTGAGCCACCGAGTAGAGGGGATGGAGGGAGGAGGGAGGGCTTCTTAGAAGCACCCCTGCTCCTTGGAAGGCGCGGGCCTTGTCTGTAGATGTTGCGCCGGCGCCTTCTGAGAAATAGCATCCTTCTGAGAATCCTTCCCCCCTCGCGTGCGCCGCCAAGGATAGGAGGGGCGACAAGTCGAGGAGAACCTGGCTCTAGCTCTTAGAACACGTTCGGACTCTAAGGACATGTCGTGGTAGGCCTATACGAATGCCGGAACGGTCGGTCCCTGCTCGAGTCTGGGCGGCGCCGAGTCGCTGAAGTTTGTTCCCCATTGTTTCGGCCTCTGGAAAGGCCGTCTCGGGGCCCCCCGCGGCCGTCGAAAGCCGATGCTCGGGATAAGAAGCCGGGCTCGGGGAGGTCCGAGTCGTCGGAGGTCGGGGGTTGGTGCAGATGGGCAGTGCAGGGCTCGTTTCGATTCCCCCGATTCGATGCGATTCGATCTCGAAGGCTTCGATTCCGAATCGATTAGATTTCGGATTCCGTTTTTGGGCCTGATCCCTTATTGGAGGCAGACTAGCCTGCCGATGTCCGCCGATTCGACTTCTTCCGACTCGGCTGCCGATTTTCGCCGATCCGATTCAGTTCGATCGCCGGTCCGACTTGTCGATTCGATACTGGGCTCAGCCTGGGCCAGCAGGTTCCGTGAGAAGCCAGATCAGGCCGACGGCGAAGGGGAAACAATAAACGTAGGGGATCGAAGAGTGCAAGAAGGAGGCCCCAAACGGCCCCCTGAATTACCACCGCGGGCTCGACAGACAACAACACGAAGGGCGCCAGTTTCTCCACCCCACGCTTATCCCCCCCGTCATGAGCACGAGTTTAGTGGTTGGCTTGCACAGCGGTGCACCTTGGGCACCAGCGTTGGGCCCCCGCGCCCCGGCAGAGCTCCTCCACGCGGCGCGTCGGCGGCGGCACGTGCTTACTCCGTGGCGGTCCTTGGCTCCAAGCGTGCCCCGACTCGCACGCACCACATTCGAGCCATCCGCCGATCGCGTGATCTGCCAACTCCTGCCCGGCCATGCCGATTGCCCTGCTTCTCCTCGCCCTCTCCCCCGCGCCGACGCTGGCTGCGCGAAGCAACTTCGAGGAGATGATCGCGGCGGCTGCGCTTCACGACCCCTCGCTCTCGCACCTCTCGGTGCCAGACGCAGAGCTGCCAGATCTGGGCGAAGACTTCTCGTCGGTGCTGGAAGAGGGCTCTGGGGCCTCACAGAACCGCAGCAAAGAGCAGTGGGGCGAAGACGTAGAGTGCTTCTGCATCGATTACTACGAGTTTGTCGACTGGGACGACTACAGCCACTACTCCAACCCGGAGGACTGCATGCAGGGTGGCGATCGGTGCAACGAGAAGTGCGAGAGAGACCCCAAGCACATCATCACCTTCGAGGGGAAGCGCCAGACCCTTTCCTTCTGCGGGACAGACGAGGGCTACCCGAGCCGGGAGCCGGAGTGCCAGTGCCTGGACGGGACAGAGACGTTCAAGCACTCCAACACGAAGAAGGCCCTCAAGAAGTACGGGAACCCCAACCTCCTGACGCAGTTCGCCCACGGCGCGGAGCACGCGTTCGACGGCTACGGGAGCAGCGCCGCCAACTTGCGCGCCTGCTACATGGAGTGCCCCAGCCTCTGCGAGTCGAAGCAGAAGCTCACGGGCGGCTGCGCCATGCCCACCTCCGCGTGAGCTCCCGCCGCCCGCCGCCCGCCGCCCACCGCCCACCGCCCACTCCTCCCTCCCTCCCTCCTCCCCAGCCCGGCGACGAGGCGCCTCCGAGAGGCCAACAGAGTTAAAGAAAAAGCAGCAACAGAAACTTTAAAGTTTGGAGAACAGTTTTAAGTATAAAAGTTATATACGAATAATACGAATAATATGAATGAGACTAATAATAAAAAGAATAGTAATAATAATAAGAATGATGATAATGATAATAATAGTAATAATACTAATAGAAATAATAATAATAATAATAATAATAATAGTACTAATAATAATGATAATAATGACAATAATAATAATACTAATACTACTAATAATAATAATAATAATAACAATCTCAATAATAATGCGAATAATAATGATAATAATAATACGTTCTTCATATTATCTGTATTTGTATGGGGGTCGAGGAGGAGGACTGGCGCCGTTGTCTCGGCCGGTCCTCCTCGACCCCCGAGACTCCCAGAGGGCGCGCCCGCGCGGGCGCGCGGGCCTCCGCGCGCCGCGCTCCGGCGGCTCGGCCCCGCGCCCTCCTCGCCTTCCTCCTTGCGGGTGCTGCCGGAAGTGCCCCTGGCCCTCCTCCTCCTCCTCGTCCTCCTCCTCCTCCTCCTCCCCTTCTCCTCCTCCTCTCCTCCTCTCCTCCCTCCTCCTCCTCCTCCTCCTCCTCCCCTCCTCCTCCTCCTCCTCCTCCTCCTTTTCCTCCTCCTCCTCTTCTCCCCTTCTCCTCCTCCTCTCTCCTCCTCCTCCTCCTCCTCCCTCCTCCTCCTCCTCGTCCTCCTCCTCCTCCTCCTGCCTCCTCCCCTCCTCCTCCTCCTCCTCCTCCTCCTCGCCTCCTCCTCCTACCTCCTCCCTCGTCCTCCTCCTCCTCCTCCTCCTCCTTTTCCTCCTCCTCCTTCTCCTCATCCTCCTCCTCCTCCTCCTCCTCCTCCTCCTCCCCCTCCTTGGAGGAGGGTTCCGACGAAGGCATCTATACGCCGCCACCGTGCCAGGCCAGGGCCATCCTGGGCCCCAGGATGGTGTGCAGAACCTCCTGGCCTCGGCCAGGAGGGCGTATACACCATCCTGGGGCCCAGGATGGCCTTGCCTTGGCACGGTGGTGGTGTATAGATACTCTCTGCGCAAAGGTGTCCCCAGCTTTTCGCTCCATTTTGGAGCCCCTGGGGTCCCCTGGGCCTCGTGAGGGGTGCCCTGGAGGCCGCCTGGGCCACCCCGAGAATCCTGGGGGCACCCTGGTCCAGGGGCACTTCTAGCAACATCCGACTCGTACCCTCGAGTCGGGCCTGTCCCTCCACAGGGGGGAAATTCAAAAGTAGTCTTAGGTCGGGCCTGCCCCTCTACAGCGGGGGATATTCAAGAATAGTCAGAAAATAGTCTTTAGCCTTGAACGCCAGCCTCTACAGGAGTTATGATGCTCCAACCTACTTTAGCCTTGATCACCAGGATGAATTTCGAGCGCCCAAAAAAGTACCCCAAAACTCAAGGGTTTTCACGTGTCGGGCGCTGGGAGACACTCGCCTGACACTGTTTCGACACTCTTTCGGCACTCTTTCGATACTTTTCCGGGTGCTCGAAATTATTTCTGTGATGCGGTCCTTAAGTAGGACGGGAGCAACATTATTTGACCCTTGAGTCGGGCCTGTCCCTCTACAGGGGAAATTCAAAAGTACACGCCGGTCGTTGAAAGTAGGTATTTTTGGATTCCCAGATCCCAATCTACGTCAAGCGCCTTCCTATTTCAAGAATCGACGCGCTTTTGCTGTGTTGTGTTATTCCCTCTACAGTTATGATGCTCCAACCTAGTTTAGCGTTGATTACCAGAAAGAATTTCGAGCGCCAAGAAAACACCCCAAAACCTCATGGTTGTTCACATGCCGGGCCCTGGGAGACACTCTTTCGGCACTCTTTCGATACTTTTCCGGGTGCTCGAAATCATTTCTGGGATGCGGTCCTTAAGTAGGATGGGAACAACATAAACTTTGAGTCGGGCCTGTCCCTCCACAGGGAGAAGTTCAAAGGCAGTCAAAAAAAATTGGGGACGATTGGTAAATTTTCTTTTTGAGCACTGTCTTGCACGTTCGGGGTATCTTGTTTCGTCCAGAGTCCGCCTATAGGGGGAGGTCCCTTTGCAGTCGGGGGTGGACAGACCTCCTACGCTGACACGTCGATTAAGGAGTTGGCCGTTTTCGGTTCGCGAGGGGGCGTCGCGGCCGTCGTTTTTGCGGGTCCAGGTCCGTCGGTTTCGGTCCCGCGCCGTTTTCACAAAAAGGAGGTTTACTAAAGAGAGGCTTGTCCACCGCCGATACAGGGGGGAAATTCAAAAGTAGTCAAAAAATAGTCAGGGGACGATTGTTCTATTATCTTTGAGCATTGTCTTGCCTAGTCGGGGTATGTTTGTTCGTCCGGAATCCGCCTGTTGGGGGACGTGCCCGACCTGGTCTTACCCCCTGGGGGCGCGCCCCTCGCGAGCGCGAAGCTTTCCGCGCTTGGCGCTTCGGTCCCGACGCCTCCTCATCCTCCTCTTCTTCCCCAGGGGCGCGCCCTCGCGAGCGCGAAGCTCTTCGCGCTTCTCGCGCTTGGCCCCGACTTCTCATCCTCCTTTTCTTCCCTGGGGGGGCGCCCCTCGAGAGCGCGAAGCGCTTCGCGCGCTTGGCTCCGATTCCTCTTCGACCTCCTCTTCACCCCTGGGGGGACGCCCCTCGCGAGCGCGAAGTGCTCCGCGCTTCGCGCTCTGGCTCCGATCTCCCCCGCGAACAGCAACCAGGCAGACCTGGCACTCCCATTCCGCCTCCCCCCCCTCCTCCCTCCACTCCTCCCTCCACTCCTCCTCCCTCCATGACGTTCTGAGTCCCCCCCCCCCCCTCCTCCCTCCACTCCTCCTTGCCTAGACGGTGCTCGGCGCTCCGGCGCCACCGTCGCGCTCTCGCAGGGCCGTCCCCTGGGGACGACTGACCGGCGCCTCGCCTCGCCTCGCCTCCTCTTCTCCCCCCGGGGGGGCGCCCTCGAGAGCGTGAAGTTCTCCGCTCCTCGCGCCGCGCGCGCAGCGCGAGGCTGAGCGCCCCTGTGAGAGCTGCGACACCGCGGAGAGTCACGACCGGAGCCGCGGACCCCATCCTTCTCCGGAGCTCAATCAGGCGATCGCAAACATGGATCAAGGGGGCATGGATTCGCGACAGGTCCCGTTTCCATGGGAAATCGCGGATTTCCGCCGCCGAGCGAGGCGGCACCAGCCGCAATTTGGGGAGGGCACCTCCCCCGATCCATCGACTTGTCGAACGCGCGCCAAATGCATGGATCGCTAATTGATCCATGTTTGCGCGCCCCCGACTTGAGAGACGGGGGTCAATGCACCAGGGGTCAACCATGGCGCCAGATCTTGCAGGATCCTGCAGGGCCAGGGATGCACTGACCTGGGCTTGGGTGCAGGATCCTGCAGGATCTCGCAGGATCCTGCAAAACCTTACTGATCCGGACCTGCATTGACCTGGGTCGGTGAATCTCCGACTGGGGCCCGAAACCAGGCGCAAACGCCCACTGTGAAAAAGTGCAGTGCCCGGACCTCAAGGGCCGCTGCACTTTCGTGGGGGAGGAGGAGGAGGAGGAGGAGGACGGGATGTTCGTGGCCCCCGTCCCTCGCTCGCAAGCCCGCGCGGTCCCGCAGGGCCCCGGCGCGGAGCCGCGCGCGGCCGCCTTCGTGCGGCTGAACGGCTTCCTGTTGAGGCCATCCGGGGGGGTGCGAGGGGTGCGGGTCGGGCAGCAAGAGGGGGAGAGGATGAGGGGTGCCCTGATCCCTTCGCGTCGCGAAAAACACGACAGAAGGTTTTAGGCAGGTTTTGGCCTTGGAGGGCTTTTACCAGGTTCCAGGAACGTCAAGCAGCAACTCAGAATGGAAAGCTGATAGCAAGAGGGGGAGAGGATGAGGGGTGCCCTGATCCCTTCGCGTCGCGAAAAACACGACAGAAGGTTTTAGGCAGGTTTTGGTATTGGAGGGCTTTTACCAGGTTCCAGGAACGTCAAGCAGCAACTCAGAATGGAAAGCTGATCCCCGGGAAGCCTAAATAGGTAAACAAACAAACAAACAAAACATCCGGACTCTTGGAAGGGTGGAGGGGGGAGCAGGGCTCGGAGGAGTAGAAGGGGGATGGATGGGAGGGTGGGTGGAAAAGGACTGCGGGGAAGAGGGAAAGGCAAGGGGGAGGGGATGGGGAGGCGGAAGGGAAAGGGAGGGGAAGGGAGCGCTTGGGGGGAAGCGAAACACGGAAAGGCGAAGAGGAGGGAGAGGAAGGGGGGGAAGAAGGGAGTTCCCAGCCCCATGGGGTCGCGGGGGGCCTGGCATTTGCCCCCCCCCTCCCCACCAGGAATGCAAAGTGGTTGGGGTCGAACCTATCCGCAGGGCAGCTTCTAGGGGAGAGATTCACGAGGACCACCGAAAGTTTATGCGTGTACCGTTCCCGACCTATTTCCTGAAGATGGTTGTTCGTCGGGCTTGTCCCTCTACAGAGGGAATATTCAAAAATAGTCAAAAAGTACTCACGGGATTATTTTTGGGTTTTAACAATTTGGGAATATGTGTTGAGTTCTTCTTCTTTGTCGACGAAAATCCCCCTGTATGGGGGGACACGCCCGACTGAAAGATAGTTGTTCGTCCCGACTACTTCTTATTTGTCGACGAAAATCCCCCTGTATGGAGGGACACGCCCGACTTAAAGATAGTTGTTCGTCCCGACTACTTCTTACTTGTCGACGAAAATCCCCCTGTATGGGGGGACACGCCCGACTTAAAGATAGTTGTTCGCCCCGACTCTGGTTCTCACAACCCAGGGGCCCAGTCACGGGCCCCGGAGGTCGGCATCGAGGAAAAACGCTGGGATTGAAAACGAGGTCGAGGGCGCGAAGTGATTCGCGCTTCGCGGTTGGGCGTATGTCGGGCCTGTCCCCCTTACAGTGGGATTTTCGGCGAAAGATAAAACATACCCCAAAAATAGTCTGGGGACTATTGTTTGAGTATGTTTTGGCCTTCTTGGGGTATGGAGTCTTTGTTATTATTCGTCGAAAATCCCCCTGTAGAGGGACACGCCCGACACAAGGTTGGGCTCCGATTCCTCCTCATCCTCCTCTTCTCCCTTGGGAGGCGGCGCGAGAGCGCGAAGTTATTCGCGCAGCGCGAAGCGCGAAGCGCGGAGCTGGGAGCCCTTGGAAAAGTACAGATCGGCGATCGGCTCGGTTGAGATCTGAGTCTCTTTCAGGATCCATCATGATGCAGTTCCTCGGAGGTTGAAGTCGGCATCAGCGAAGGTACATCCGCCATCGGCCCCCCGGCATAATCCAGCTCAGTGGCCCCTTACTCTGGCCGGGTGGCCCTTGATCGTTCTCACGAAGGCCTCACACAAGTTGCCTCCTAAGAGTAAGTCGGGCATGCCCCTCTACAGGAGGAACAGTCAAAAATACTCGACGAATAGTCTGGGGGTGTTATTTCGACTACGTTTGAATCTGTGTTGACTATGATTCACCTGTCTTCAAAAGTCTGCCTGTAGGAGGACATGCCCGACCTAATCCTAAGATCAAGGGTCTTCTTGGCGACGTCTGTGGTGGCCGTCGCGCGCAGCCCCTGGAGGCGAGGAGGGGGGGCCTCCTGAGGAGGCGACGGAGGCTTCCAAGAAGGAAGGCGGCCTGTAAAAGAAGCCTTCTCGGCTTCCGAGAAGCCTTCCCACGGAATCCCCCCAGGGCCCTCCCGAAGAGGCCCCTTCCGAGAGGGCACTTTCCCTGGGCATTTCCGAGGAGGGCACCTTGCGAGAGGGCACCGCCTGCACAATTCCCTTGGGACCCTCCTCCTCCTCCTCCTCCTCCTCCTCGTCCTCGTCCTCCTCCTCCTCCTCCTCCTCCTCCTCCTCCTCCTCCTCCTCCTCCTCCTCCTCCACATTCCCCGCCGGAGATCCGTGCCAGCCTCGAATGGAGGGGGGCGAGACATGGTGTGGGGAGGGGGGGCAGCGAGGGCTGCACAGCAGGGGCCCTTGGAGGACCTCTGGAGGGGCCCCGGCGGGCCCAGGAGGGAGCCTCCCGGGCCCGAAAGGGGCACCTCTCTTCCCCCCCAAGTTGAACGAAGGGGCCCCAGGACATACAAATAAATACACAAATAAAAAGATTCCCCATATTTTCCTATATTTTCTGGGTTTCTGTCTTCCCTCCCACTTCCCATATGTTCTTATATTTTCTGGGGAATCGAGGATTAATTGTGTCGGTGTGTTTCTTTTCCTCCTGATTGAAGTTGACGCCCCCCCCCTCAGGGCTCGTTTCGATTCCTCCGATGCAATTCGATTTCGATTGCTTCCGAGGCCGATTCGATCCGACTCAGGATTCCGATTTGGGT